TGCCTGTTTCCAGCGTCATGACTTAAACGTTTCAAATACAAATTAAGTAACTCGTTACAAACAAGATTCTTTTCCAGAAAACCTGAAATGTGAGACCTAGACATAGATGGAAGAACGATGTTAAAAATATTCGTCCGGTTCAAGACAACGTGCAGGCGTGGACAATTCTCAACCACGCAAAGTTTCAGGAAATAATAAAAAAGTAAGCGGACTATTTAATATAAGACTTAACGCGTGATATCATCGATTTTATAGGACAGTTATAGGGACAGTAGAATCAAGGAGGCTACGATGGAGTGGGGATGTAGCTGGATGCAGAGACAAGGAATGTATACAGAATTGTAGGTGGGGAAACAAGTTGGAAAACCATCAGTTGGAAAACCCTGAAGAAATGGCAGGATAGATGTTACGGAGACAACATTGTGAGGAAAAAAGGTTGATGGAACCAATTTAGAACCTTGTCCAATGACGGGCCTATTTGTTGAACTTCAGGATCCTTGTGTGGAAAACCGAAGTTCTCATAGAAAATCGGCCCCATTGCCACTTGGACTACACGGATTGCACTGGGCGCGGTCCCGGGTCCCCGCGATGAGAAATAATGTATGCAAACACGTAATATTACATACATACTTATATACATACATACATACATGGACAGCGCAAGTTGTTCCTTATCTCTTGTTTTCACAGCTTCTCCATTAAATTCGTGAAAACTCTCCTGGAATAGGAGGCGTGCACCGTGACTGATATATTAGGGGACGCCAAATTTCTGTTTCAGCTGTAGATTTTAGACAACTTTTTTGAAATTAAAGAAAACTGTAGAATAGCATTCTTTTAAAATTTCTTACTTTCAGGTTTCAAGAATGTGTCTAGATCACTTAAAAACTAACAACCAACTACGCTCCAGTTTTTGACAGACTCTTAAAAAAAACCTTTCTTGAAGTTTCGATATTGTCTTCAGATAATTCAGTGTTTCTGTCTACTTCAATTCGGGGTCAAGGACTGCAATCAAGCAAGGGCGGTCAAGGGCGTCATCCTGGCGCTGCTTTCACTGCCCGGGCGCCATCTTGGCTTAAAATACATGCGGTATAGGCTAAGGGCAAGTGTGAATACAAGCCTCGCACCTCATTTAAAAAATAATATCTTGAGTATGCTTCTCTAAAAACTTTTAAAAGTCATGTAGGAAAGCCAGAGAAGATCTGAAAAAGTCTGCTCCAGTATTAATGTTCCCTAATTAATATAACGTGTTTGCTTTCCTTGTGGCCGTTCATCATTTTACTCTGCGTTTAAAAGTGTGCAGCTACCATAAAGTAACTTAGAGAACGGGCTCATATTACGATCCATGTCCATTTCTTTCAACCTGAAACAGCATCCTAGGCCGTGTCCCGTAATTTTTATTTTTAAGACTAGGCCTACACTAATGCTTTCAACTGTTCACTTGGTTGCTAGGTTACGCAGCCACCACACACAGAATTTACTACAGAGAATGATCAATATACAACATAGTGTCTGTGATTTGACCTCTTCGCCAATAGATGGTTCAATATCTTCCATAAACATTAGTTCTTCATTACATAAAGTGGCAGTGATATTTTATGAAATTGATAAGCGTCTTTTACTCACTGAACATAGAACACCTGCTCACTTTTCACAAATACAGGATTCATATTAAAAAAGTTAATTTACATTTCAAAAAGTTGTATATTTGCATCCATTTAATTTAGACCTCAGCAGTTCATTCAATGAAAAATTCGATCAACACCAGAGACCAGATTCCGTCTTGAGTAGCTAATAACTGCTCATTTATTCAAATAAGTTCATGTTTTATGGTACATAAAGTCTTATATCCCACAAGAGACAGTTAAATCCACCCCACAATCGATTTAAAACCATTTTAATATCAATGGCTGTTCTCGGAGTTGTTTCATCATAAATACATTTTCATTCCTTATGGTCTGAGAGATTACGTTTTCTTCACAGCTCTCATTCTGCACTTCACTCTTTGGAGCTGTTTTGTCCGTATTCAACTCACACCATTCACGAACAAAGACAAAAATATCTAAACAGCGAAAGATACAAACAACTAACACTTCAGATACTAATCATAAAGCGGTTAATTTGTGGACAAAGAACGTCACATCCAGGCAATTTTATCAGGGACTGTACAAAAGTGTCGTGTTATCTTACAGTGAGGGTTTTTTTTTCCTTGGCGTGGATTTATATGCTCTTTTAATAGAAGTCCCCTGCAGACTCCAATTTAATTACAGTAAACCTTTCGCCTTTAAAGCTGACGGACTATCAGCAATAAAAGTAGTGTTCTGCTATTCAACACGCACAACCGAACGGCCGTCGAGATTATGTTAATGAAATCGATTATGCGCCATTGAAAAAGAGATAGAGAACAGTATAAACAAAGAAACGCGATGAGATTTTTGCATTTTGCATCTTTTTGAGTGTAACTGATTTCTAGGCTTTGTCCATCGTCTGGTATTCCGGAAAGTAGACGATGTTTCCAAAATTGGATTCGTTTCCGCCGTCACGTAAAAAATGCAGGGTTTAGATAAGGACAAACCAATTGGCGTGCTAGCGACCGTTACGAGCGGCTCGTAACAGTCACAGCGAGTGTCTTGATCACGCCTTGCTGAAAACATTTATCTCAAGTTTCAGTTCTGGAAAGCAGATCAAGTTGTGTAGTCGAGTTAGGTTTGAAATTTTAATCGAAATTTTTGGCCTCTATATAAAACTGAATAGACTGGTATTGGTCTGTAGCAATTAGACGTTGTTCTTTCGATGATTTCTTATTTTTCTTGATTTTTTGTTGTGCTGTTTTAGCGTTGTAGCTTGCGTTAGTGTCCAGTACGTAATGTTTCGCTAAAATGTGAACATTTCCGCAGAAAAATGGACATGTTATTCTTCTTCTTTAAACTGAATATGCAAGTTAAATGGGGATGAAGAAACAGAAATCATTAATCCACATTATGCAGTGAGTCTAGAACATGCACTGAAGATATTAATTCAAATATATGTAACTTAAGTTTAAATTAAATTAACTGAAGTCTTCTTCCTCTTTAATGTAATATATGAAGAATATTACGTCCGTCTCCAGTTGTCTTTTCAGTCACTAAATTCCGCGGTTACACTTCATACACAATGAAAAGTCTCTTATAATTCTGCGTCAAGTTTCTCCTCTTCGTTGGATTTGCACTAAGTTTTAACTTCACGTTGATGCCAATTTTATCTCACTCTTTGAAACACGAAGTTCATTTAAATGATATTTAAAACTTGGTTCATACTTCAAAGGAAATACAACGCTTCTTCATACCCGACACGTTATGACTGCTTCTGCATCCCTATATTTCATCTTCAAAGTTGCTCATAAGTCATTTTTTAACTATAAAGAGTATTTTAGATGCAGGGATTATATTGTAATTTGCCCATTTGTCAAATTATAAATTTTGTCAGATGTTTCGCCCTGATAATGGACGCAGAAGTCACCTCCGAAACGTAGGTAAACTACGGTGCAACAACCCATAAGACAGTAATCTTCAAATATGGATTTTACTTTACAAGAAGTTCAAACTACACTTTGCAATTTTAGCATATTCAAAAACAAAACTAAAAATACATGACAAAAATATTTCTGAGGTTTAAGAATGTGATTTTTCGAGTATAGGTGACGTATATGGACAATGTCTATATATTAGGCAGGTTATTGAAGTAGTTAAATAAAAGACGAACTGGGAGGAAGATCAGAACTGAAGGAGGTTTCGGTACTGTTTTTGTAGGAAATTTTATTCAAAATACATTTTTGTGGATTAAAACCTGGAAACTTTAAATTCTCTGTCCTGCAGAGAAACAGGATTAATTCTGCTGGAATTAGACCGTATCAACCTATATCTCAGAGGAAATACCAATCTCATCAAACTTCGGTTCTGGGACGATGAATTTGCAATAGGCTATTTATTTTGATATGAACTACAAACTCTGTGAATACGACGTCAATTACTAAATTAACTGTTTCGATTATTGAACGAGTGTAACTCATGCGCATCGTTCAGCTAATCCGATGCTTCGTAGATGTGTTTATTATGCTGTATAACGCTCGGAAATATTTGCCCGTTTATCTCAATCTGTTCTTGATCGTCGTAGAATACTCTAATATCCATTCAATAAATAAATTAATCAATCCTAAGGCTATCATGGTAATAAACTGGTCATTGGTTTGTTGTTCATTTTCTTACCAGCAATGTATTGTGTTTATCAGTAATTAACGAACGCTGTTATTCTGTTCATGGGTTTCTGTTGAAATAAACTACAATGATGTAATAAAATTACTTTACGGAAGAATTTAACAGGCTGAAAATAAAGATGGCTGTCTTCTTGGTTGTTGCGCCGTGTAGTTTGGTAGTTTACCTACGTTTCGGAGGTGCCTGCTGCGTCCATCATCAGGGCGATGATTATAATATGATCAGAATACTCGGTGTAACAACCCAGAAGACTCACAGCCGTGAAAATCTCAGCTCCTACAAAATACTTTTTACTTCTGAGTTTTTCAGGGCGATGGAAATATGAACTGTTGTCTTTTGGACTGTGACGTCGTGTGATCTTGTGGGCGTTTATCAATGTTTCGGAGAAATGTGCCGTCTCCATTTTAAGGACACTCCTATAGCGAGGATGTTGATGATACGTTTCTCCGAAATGGCGTTAATCATCTACAAGGCTATAAGGATTCTTTACGAGGTATCATATTCTCAAAATTGTCTCTGTTTCCTGGACTATGACATCGGTACACGTTAGGGCCTATTCCATAAATGATAGCGAAAGAGGAACATGTACTTTGGAAACACAATTTAAGTTATAATTCATTTTAGGACATCATAATTCTTTTTAAACTTCAACGGATAAAACGCTGCAGGAATGATAATAGCACCAACCGCTCGTTCTTGTGCTAACGACGTATTCCAAACACATGAGTAGAAAAATGGCGTGAAAATACTCACCCCTAAGTCTAGGTAAGAGATGTAGATGGGGTAGGGCAGCACGATGCAGACTGCCAGCAGCCAAGTGCCCAGGGCGCATACAAAAGACGGCATCCTCGGTTTGGTGGGATCTAGCATTAGGCGGTACCGGTCGACGGCGATGAGAAGGAAGCTCAGCATTGACACGTGCAGAGGGATGTCCTGGCACAACAGGAAAACAAAAATAAAAGACGATAGCAGTGCACAAACAGTGTGTGGATATTTGTTTTGTGGTTGGTTGCGTGGCTGGCTGGATGTTCGATTAATTTTTGCTTTACGACACATTAGTTACTTTATGTGTGACATTAAAAAATCAGAAATAACATTATGTTGTTACACTCTGCATTGCTTTAAAATAACCATGAATTTATTTGCGTCGTCATTTGTGAAGCTTCTCCGAAATAGTTTTACAACCTACAAATTGTTTCCATTATGTCCCACCTACGAGCGGCTTCGTTACTACAAGCAACAAATTGGAAACAGTAACCAGGACGAATCCGAGTGTGTTCTATTTTCTGCCATTGTAGCACGAGAACAACTGATGTTATATCCTGTAGAGTGAGATAGTGTTTTCCAGACAACCACGACTCATGCCACACAGCCTGCATAATTGCTCCTTCCTCTAATTTCCTGACACCAGAGCGAGCCCACATGGCCAGCAAGTGTCTTAAGATCTTGTGATATCCGGTTCTCACAACAGCGAGTATGAAGGTGGCTGTCTGATGGGTTGTTGGGCCACGTAATAACTACCAGCACCTCTAAAACGTCGGTAAATTTCTATCATACTACTCGGCGTAACAATCCAGAAGACAGCAAACTTTGTGTGTCTTAAGGTACTTTAAACACAGGTCAATTCTTGGTCCATAATCATATAGTCTCTAATTCTATGGAGAACATTCATCGATAGTTGATAGCAGCTCATCTAATCAAGAAATTCTTCGTGTTTTATTGAAACCTAAGGGCCATTACCGTATTCGAAACAACGTGCTACTAGATCTTAGACTAGTCAGGAAAAGCCAATCCACACCCTTAAGCCATTTCTGTAAGACACTTTAAAAGTATCCTTCTATCTACGCCTTGGTCATCCATGTGATAGCTTCAGTTCAGGTTTTCCGACTAAAATCTTGTACAAATATTTCGGATTCTATGCGTGATACATACACCGCCTAACTAACTGACTTACTATATGGCTTACGGAATCCGTAAGTTCATCACCGAATTAACCAAAACCAACAACAAAATCCATTTGCTATCCTCACAGCCCACCTCCCTAAGATCCATCTTGATGTTATCCTCCTATCTCCCTTTACGTCTACCCAGTGATCGTTTTCCAGAAGAATTGTCTACAATAATCCCGTATGCACCCCTAGCTAATAAATTATTTTATTTTCTGTGTGGAATTATTCATTCGTGATACAACGAACCCACTGTTGTTTAATGAATCTGGTTTATAACATTGGGCACCCTCCTGGGACATTGGAGGAAGCCTTGTGGAGCGGGTTGAAGTGCGGGTAATGACTAAAACGTGGCTACAGCCCAGCGCACAAGATAAACCTGACATCGGGAAATGAAGGGTCAAAAACAATGAAAATGCCAGACAAAACCGTTCAGAACACAGAGGCTCTGTTTGATGTGAACGGCTTGCTGATGCAGTGAAAGCGGGAGTGTGTTAAACTAATGAGAGCGGTGTACACATTAACGTACAGAACCGGAAATTACGACTGTGACATATCGATATTGGGGCCTGATTATAGAGTAGTGATTTTGGTCTTCAGGGCTATCAAGATAAACAGCCTCTATGTAGCCTAAAACAACGTAGAAGTGAAATTTGTGTGCCCTGAATTTTTATAATTATTATATACTCCAACGTTACAATTATAAAAACAAAAAAATCTTTCGTAATCAGAATTTGTAACGCACGCACGCTGGTTCGTCATCGATAGTTTCATTCAATGTGTGTCATTTTGTTTTCATACGCCTGCATTCTTATAGGACAAGGACTCATATGTAAATACACATTTATGTTCACCGCCAGATGGGGCGAAGAGCGCTGGAGTTCTTGGCCGCTACGCTAATCCCGAAGGGCTATTATGAAACTAACCTAATAAGGTTAATAACGCATTTGTTCTGTTCACCAGGTTGTGAGTGTGGCAATGGATCAGCTATCATTAGAAGATTATCCTAAAGTGCCAAGGTAAATAATAACCTGGGCATATATAATGATTTTAAACACTGAGGAAGAACTAGTTGCAATCAGTAACAGGTATTCTTTTATTTAACAGGGGCTAGTGTATTCTTTCGTAAAGTAAATGTTGAGGTTAACACAAATAAACACAAGTTTAAACAAAGTGGGCTTAATTATATATTTACTGACGATGACAGAAAATTATAAATGCTATTGTGATCCTCTAGATTATGAAGCCATGTGGTCATCTGGATAGTTGCCAAAACTTTCACCATTGTTAGAATATCAAATCTGAGTCCACCTTTGCTTTCAAAATAGACTGCTATCTAAAATTCACCGTTTAAGGAAGGAATCGAATTTTCTCTGCTTAATACACGAAGAACATCCGAAACAATATAGTTTTACACATTCCTATCGCGTATATTTTGAGATCAAACATAATGAGTTATAAAGTGATGTATATAATGGATTTCAGGAAGAGTTAGCAGTTTTCAATATTTACTACCTGCCACGCATAGCCGTATTATTTACATTAGCTGGCGATAAACATAAAGAAATGCACACACGTGTCTGGCTAATGTATTACCAACACACGTGTCCAGGGACGTAGATGTGGTACAAAGCTATGTAACGTAGCAGAACTGGTCAATATCAGGTTTCACTTATGCACTAAGCATTCAAGGATAAAAAAAAAACTCAGGAAAATTATCTACGTCCTGGATTCGAAATGAGAGATTAGAGAAATGCGGAACGTTTTCAACAGTTCAGCTTCTTAACGCAGAACATCAGAAGTTATCGAATAATCAGAATATAGTAACGTGAAGAGAAGTATTTTAAACATAAGCAAAATATTTGAACTAATTTCAATATTTCATAAAATATCGTTAAATCACGTTGTTAACTTTTTAATTATCACATTACTACGCATGTTCTATATATCAAGCAATATTAAAATTCATTTGTGCACTCACAAACTAATTAGTGAACATGATCTGTGTAGTTTGGCACTAAAAACTGTGGCAAAAACCTCGTTTTACATAAAATAACAGCTGTAATTCTTTATATATATATATCATTTAGATTAAATAAATAATAACATATACCACAGAAAGAAATCCGATTAAGGTAAGCGTCGGCCAGACGTTATTATGGTAGAATGATTTTAAATGTATAAAAAGACACATTACGAGCAAATTCAGCATTGTTAAAGTAGTTAATTGAATGAGGTTACGGATAACCACTAAACGCTATGAAATTTATACGTGTGTTGATGTGTTCAGCCGTAGGGTTCTAGGTTCAAGGATGAAAAGTAATGTATGAGAATGCTACGTTTATATGAGCTTATCTACTGCAGTCATTTATTTTAAGAGAAACAAAATTGATAGTCCCAAGCTCAACAGTGTGAAACAGAACCGTAATATGGTATTACGCACACGTGTGGGAAAAATTCATCAATCTTTTAATAAAAAAAGCATTTTTATGATTTATTTTTCATTTCGTGAATGAGACAGAATTACACAACGTCCTGCAAAAGTTGGAAGGGCGTCTATTGCCGTCAGCTACCGACCGGTCTCTCGTTGGGGAAAAGAAAAAATCGAATTTAACAAAATCGTCACATTATCTGAATATATGACAAAAATTTAATTTTGTAATATACTACGTCATGATCATCCATTGTTTTGTTGAAATATCAGAGGACATAATTAAACTTGCTAGATATGTCTCTATGAAACAGTCAAAACACGTTACAGCCATTTCTCTGCAAAGCACGCCCACGAAATTGCCCTTTGTGAGAAGATCAACCTCACAATAGTGATGTGAGGGGCACAGCTACTGGGAGAAAGCTTCCAGTAAATTATCCCCATAGGGCGAGTAAAGACTTGACCAGGTTTCTAGAAATAAAAGATTTATTATGTTGCAAAATGTTAATAAACCCATTATAATACTGCTGCCTTTTGTTATGTGGTGAACCTCATTTGATATTTCTACACCGTTTTAGATTTCTTATTATAATATAAATAAAGTAATAAATAACGACTATTACCATAGCACGAAAATTATACCTTGATGCTTATATCATAAATGTCTATCATTTTCTAATAATGTGACGAAATTAATTATCTTACAGCAAACACTAAGGACAAAAATAATAGACATTTGAAAGGGTAACCAAATGTAGTTAAGTATAGCTACAAAGTTAAAAATAAAACCATGATAGCGATAGCAATCTACTTGCAGATTCCAGAATGATTCTGAATATCGGACAAATTTCCTCTGTGCCATAAAATGTGGTGTCAGGCAGCACAGTGATGATATATTGACTACAAGGTAATAACGTTTTGAATTCAATAAATGATAATGTATTGCATAACTTGCTAAGAAGGGCATTACATCGTGGATTTAGTGCTGATAACATTGACCGTGATGGATTACTATTGTGAACGGCAAGAGGTAATTATGGCTTATTAGAAGGTAGCATTCTAGCATTCGACTAAAGAGAAGAAAATTTTGAGTCTGAATTGCCGGTGGCACAACCAAGATATGGACCGAGCTCGTTTCAAATTATCTTCTGATGAACATGGCAAGAAGCCTAGTGAATCAAAGCGTTTGATGTTCAGACGTTCTGCTAAATGAAAGACGCATGGAGACTCAATGAAACCTTCCTGGACTGTCCAGGTAAACAATTCTGGATCTGTGTACTAGGAGACCAACATAGACGTTTATGAACTTCCAGTTATGAATAGCAGAGGCAACTAATTGGAACCGTTTGCATAATAGGTGTTCCTGTTACCTAAATGTCACAGCCACCCTATTACGAATTCGTATAACTTCGGCTTTCGACGTCGAACGTTCTGACAAACATTGCTTTTGATTTTTAAGGGTGAAGAGTTTTTGAAAACCTTTTTAGGGTAGCCAGTATTTGTTGAGTTGGAGTGATGGAGTGAAAGAGCTAGCTACTATCCATTGGACGTTAATC